AGTAGAGGTAGCAGTAGCAGCAGCAGTAGCAGTAGCGGTAGCAGTAGCAGTAGCAGTAGCAATAGCAGTAGCAGTAGCACTAGCAGTAACACTGGTAGTGGTGGTAGTAGTAGTAGTAGTAGTAGTAGTAGCAGCAGCAGCAGCAGCAGCAGTAGTAGTAGTAGTAGTAGTTGTTGTTGTTGTTGTAGTGGTTGTAGTAGTAGTAGTAGTAGTAGTAGTAGTAGTAGTAGTACCAGTAGTACCAGTAGTACCAGTAGTACCAGTAGTAGTCATAACAGCAATAAAATGCTCAACCCATCCCAACCTAAGCTGTCCTACTGCCTGGTTCGCAGAGACCTGAGGGCCAAACTCGTGGGATCATAGGACCCCGGTCCAGGGCCTTGGACCTTCTTGGCCATCTGCCCCGGGTCCTTCCGGAGATTGCGAGCATCGAAGATCGGCGAACCATACCCCCCCTCCCGGAAGAAAGAAAACATCAACAAAACAGTTGCGCAGCTAGCAGCAACACTATCGAGACAGATAATGATGGGAGAAAAAAGTCTGGCCACGGCATTCCACACAAAACCATTGTCAGTACTCCTGCTGAAGGTGCTAGTCATGATGATCTTGCCTTACACCGCTTGCAAGCAACAATGCCGAGAGAGTGAAGAATCATGGCAATAGTAGCCGCCACAACAACATGAAGAGTAGCTGCAGCAGTGGCTGCAACAGTTGCAGCAGAAACCCAGTAGTTGCAGTGATGAAGTCGCAGCAGCGCCGGCAGCAGCGGTGTAATGCGACTCTTCCTCTTCATGTTCTTCTTCCTCTTCCGCTTCCTCCTCCTCCTCCTCCTCCTCCTCTTGCTCCTTCCACTGCTGCTGCCACCACCACCACCACCACCACCTTCACCACTCAACACCACTACTCGTCCTATTACTCCTACTCCTACTACTGATAATGCTCCTACTACTCCTTCTACTACTACTCCTACTACTGCTCCTCCTACTACTACTAATACTGCTGCCAGTCTGTCGCGCCACTGTGGGCCTTCGGAGAGACGAGCCCGCTCCGGGCAATGCACCGAATTAAGAGCCCTTTCGCTCTGAAGGGCGAGCAGCTCAGCACTTCTCCTGGTTGCTCCGCCAGCGCCTCCCCTATGTTCTCTGCTGCCACTGCAACAAGGAGACGCAAGCTCAAGGCTTAGCCCACCCTCTGGGTCGCTGTTCCCTGTTGTGTTCCTTGTCTCCCATTTGTCTCCCACATNNTGCAGCGCCGCAGGGAGTTGACTCACTTGCTCGCCTTTGCCTGTGGTTTCGCCTCTGCCCTTACCAACAGAAGGCCCCTTGGAGAACCATTAGGTGGTTGTCCCATGGCTAGAGCCAAGCTAAAGAGGCAGGTTGTTGACACTGCAGTGCCACCAGAAACAGGCATTTCAAGAGACACAACCGCTCATACGCAGTTTTTAACTTCCTAAAACTGCTAGACGGCCGACGTAAAGCGAAGTGCAGATTGCACCTCGGCTGAAACCTCGTCGCCGCACCACTAGGGCTAGTTTGTACCTCAGTAGCTTCCGGACTGGGCGCTGGCGCTGCAGTCGGAAGGGTGCCACTACCG